CGGGGTCCCCCCTGCCCCCCACAGGCGTCGCCTCCCCCCTGCCAATACACCCCCGCGTCAGCATCACTTCCCAGGCCTCCGTCGCCCCCTGGGCCTGTCGCTTCCCATATGGAGGTCGCGGACCACCTGCCTCTGGAAGAGGTGCCACCACAGCCGAGTCCCCAGCTTCCTCAGATGCCTATTCCTCCTCCCTAGATGAGGCTTTAGCTGACCCTGCACCCTCCATGCCAGCGATGGACTCCAGTGCCAGAAGAGTCAGATCCCATGGTGGACATCCTATCAGGGGATGCTCCTGCCAAGCTGGCTTTGCCGCTGAACAAGACGGCAGCCAAGATTACTACCGCGCTTTGGCAGACCCCTGCCTCACTGACCCCTACCCTTAAAGGCGTTGAGAGGCGTTATTTTGTCCCGCAATCTGGTCATGAGCACTTGTACTCTCACCCCGTCCCGGGATCTATCGTCGTCCAGGCCGAAGCACAGAAAGAAAAGCTGCCACAACCCGGGGCAACCCCAAAGGCCAGGGAGCCTAAGCGCCTGGACTTATTGGGGCGTAAAGTTTATGCTACGGGGGGAGTACAGCTTCGCATTGCTAACCAGCAGGCAATGCTAAGCCAGTATGCCTATAATACCTGGCAGGCTTGGGGATAAGCTCCTGCCTGAGGCATGACAAGAGTTGGCTGCTGTCACCACGGAGGGCAGGGCAATCGCACGCACAGCCCTGCAGGCCTCTTCAGATGCAGTAGATTCGGCTGCCAGGACTATGGCATCTGGCGTGGTTATGCGCCTCAGTGCCTGGCTGCAGGTATCTGGCATACCACCAGATGTGCAATCTACCATCCAGGACCTCCCATTCGAGGAGAAGGCCCTGTTCTCAGAGCATACAGACTCTAGACTGCACACGTTGAAGGATACCAGGTCGACACTTCGGTCATTGGGGAGACACACGCCAGCTCCTCAAAGGCGTCAACTTCCCTATAGACAGCCGGGTAGACCACATTTCCAGCAGAGCCGTGGAAATTACTGGAGGCACCAGCCTCGTGCTCCCAATGGGGGCGCAGGGGCAACGGGGACTTCAGCCTCTAACCGGAGGCGCTGTCGCCCTCGCCTGGATAATGCTGGGGGGGGCCGGTCAGCCCCCTTCTCACTCCTCTAAGCCCCAGTTTTGACAGCATCAGCAAGGACCATCGGCCAACCCCTTTTTTCTCCCCCCGGTTTGGGGACAGGCTATCCCACTTTGCGCAAGCATGGGCCGAGATTACCTCGGACAGCTGGGTCCTCGATCTCATGAGGATGGGGTACTCTATCCCGTTTCAGGATTCTCCCCCTTTTTCCCCTCTCCCCCATCCCTTTTCAGGACCCATCTCACGAGGCCGTCCTGCACCAGGAGGTCCTTGCCCTTCTCGAAAAGGGTGCGATAGAACAGGTTCCCTCCCATTTGGAAGGCAAGGGGTTTTATTCCCGTTATTTTGTTATCCCAAAACCAAAAGGGGGGCTCCGCCCTATTCTGGACCTCCAGTACCTCAACAAGGAGGTGATAAAGACCAAGTTCAGAATGCTAATCCTGACCTCCATCATTCCATTAATGGAACGGGGCGATTGGTACGCGGTCCTCGACCTCAAAGACGCGTATTTTCATATAGCGATAAGGCCAAGTCACAGGAGGTTTCTACGATTTATTGTGTCCCCCGACCATTTTCAATTTACTGTTCTTCCCTTTGGGCTCTCTACGGCCTCCAGGGTATTCACGAACTGCATGGTGGTGGTAGCCGCGTTTCTCAGGACCCAGGGCATCCAGGTTTTTCTCTACCTGGACAACTGGCTGGTTCGGGGGCGCTCTCAGGCACAGGTGACATCTCAAGTAGACTCTATACAGTCCCTCTTCACGAGACTGGGGCTTTTACTGAACGACGAGAAGTCAATCTTGACCCCTTGTCAGGAAATAGTTTGGCGGGGCTCTCCTCGACGCCAGGGTGGCGCGAGCCTTTCTTCCCAGGGTAAGGTTTGATGCCATACTAGCCATGGTAAATGACCTGAAGCGTTCCCCCCTTGTTTCGGCCCGCACCTGTATGAGGTTGCTGGGCCACATGGCGGCGTGTACCTACATCGTTCACCACACCAGGCTAAGACTTCGGCCCCTCCAGGCGTGGCTGGCGACCGTTTTCAACCAGACTTCAGCTCACTGGGACATACTACTCACTGTACCTCCGTGAATAATTGCCTCCCTTCAATGGTGGACTCGGAGGGAGGTGGTATGGGGGGGGTACTGTTCCAGATTGAGCTGCCCTCAGTCACATTGGTGACAAATGCCTCCAACGTTGGCTGGGGAGCTCACCTATGCCTCCGCAGAACTCAGGGAGTGTGGACACCTCTCGAGAGAACCTTATACATCAATGTAAGGGAGTTACAGGCAGTCAGGAGGGCATGCGAGGTGTTCTTGCTCATGATCTCGCAGCGCTTAATCCTGGTGCGCCTCGACAACACAGCTGTTTATTGCATATGCAGACAGAATGAAGGGTTTTCCTATTTTGACCCAGAGGTTATCCACCTGGGTTTCCTCATGTATCACAGAGTGTTATAAGTTGGCCCACAGGGAGCCACCCCAGGTTAGGGTGCACTCCACTAGGGCTCACGCATCCTCCACAGTGTTTGGGGCGCATGTTCCCATTGTAGAAATCTGTAGAGCAGCCACGTGGTCATCCGTCCACACGTTTACGGCACACTACGCGCTTTCCCAGCAGACTAGAAATGATGCCGCGTTCGGTGCCGCTGTTCTTAGTTCTGTACTGTGGGGGAAAAAAAGTTAGAATTTTTTTGTTCTGTTCTCTCCCTTCTCTGTTAATATGGTGGTTGATTTAATCTATATGGTGGTTGATTTAATCTCTCTCTCTGGTTCTAGAGGCTTACTCCGACCCCTCCTCCACAGCGGTTTTTCTGCTTGTGAGTCACCTCACTCGAAAGGACAGGAACAACTACTTGAAGAAGAAAAGAACGGTTACTTCCCTATAACTGTTCTTCGAGATGTGTTGCTCCTGTCCATTCGATTCTCCCCCTACCCCTCCTTCGTCGGAGTGTCCGGCAAGAAGGAACTGAGGTGGGGGAGTGCCGGCAGGGGTACTTATGTGCTGCTATAGCAGCGCCACTCCAGGGGGTGACCTGCCAGTGCTATGGGAACTGCTAGGGGAAAAACGCTCCACTGAACTGTGCACGTGGCACGCACGCACCTCACTCGAATGGACAGGAGCAACACATCTCGAAGAACAACAGTTACAGGTAAGTAACTGTTCCTTTTCTTTATCTGATCTTTTTCATCTTGTCATATGTGCACCAGAACTGCCCATGGCTGCTTGTAGATTTCACAAAATTATTTTGTACTAGTACATGCTTCATACAGTCACTGGAAATAATGGCTAGGACTCTGACCTAACTCTGTAAATGGGGTGTCACCTGTGTGTTATGTGAGGTTAGGTTCCTTTTACAAATGGAGTTCAGAAGCACATTTATAAACAAATCCCGAACCCATTAGAGAAAGAAAAAGTTCCGCTGGTTTGCTCTCCTAGTGTTCATTCTGCTAAGGGCTAACCATAGCCCTACTGTGACCTATCCTTTCTGTAGTTGTTTAAATCCTTTATTAACCAAACATTAAGAACTTATGAAATGTCTTTAAGGTCTTTCAGAACTACAGATATGTGAAGGCTGACAGTTGGGTTGTTCCCTCCTCTCCACTTGTTAAGAAACTACTGGAAAACAGATTTTTTGGAAGAACATGTCAAACATAAAGAAAAATCATGCAATACAGCCTAATCATCTTATGCATGATTATCACTCTAATAAGCAAACTATTTTAGTTATATTGTGTTATTCTGCCATTAGTACCACTTGACTGCCAACTGTGCAACAGAGGTGCTGCAATCAACTAGGATCTTTGTGTATTTTCCATTGTAAATAGCATTGAGGACAGAGAGAAAAGCACTTAATGGCACAATTTTTTCAGTGACTAAGAATACTTGAGATCCATTTCAGTGATCAGAAACGTGTCTTAATGAGACAATTAGTCAATACATAAAGGCCACACAGCAATTTAGTTTGGGCTCCTACTGGCACCATTTACTGTTTCTATGTTCCTCATGATTTGACTTTCACAATAGATGATATGGAAGTCACTGTAGAGAGACTCTACAAGTAAGATTTCCTTGTTCATGGCTCTAACTGTAGGATAAGCTAAACATGAAGGTCTGAAAGTACAGTAGTCAATTTAAAACTTTTTAAAGCATCAACTTTCTTTGCTCAAATGCAGTGGAATAGGATAGCCAGCCACCTGCAGGCCCCTTGGACGCTAGGCACAAATGTTTGCAGGAAGGGGCTAAAACCCTCAAAGTAGTACTTAATTTGTTTTTTTTTTTAATTATTTTCCTATTGTAACAATAAAGCAGTAGAGGAGACATGCCAGAGCAAAACTCAGTAAACGGGGCCTGTGATCTTACCTACAAGTTAAAACAAAGCTGCCTAAGAATTTGATGGATTTGTTTTTTGTCTTACTTGTTTTGATACTAGTGAATCTTTTTGTGCTTGGAGACGCTGCAGGGTGGTGCTGATGTTATCACCTCTGCCTGAATTAAAAATTCAGACTCTTTGCTATCATTCCTTCCACACCCAGAACTCTATCCTAGCAAAAGTGGGCTTAGCTTCCACTAAAGTAGATGAGAGCTGTGGTTGCTAACAGCAGACATGAATTTGACCAGAGGACCTATTCTCAAATAGTTATTTCGGACTAGGGCATGTGTAGACAGTGCAGTTGTGGTTATTTCGAAATAAGGTGCTTCCAGGGCTTCCCACACATGCTGGGCTGGCCACTCTGTCCGCACTCATCAGAACTCTTTAGGTCCCCATAGGCTTTAAAGGTGCAGCTGCAGGGGAAACTGTGTGTAGCACACAGCAGGCCCAGCTCGCACTGTGCCACATAGCAGAACCTACCAACCCTGCCTTCCATGCTGTTATGGTACACCAGAGCACTGCACCTGAGCCTCCAACGGCTGCCAGCACTGCTGTAGGTAGCTCCCAATCCCCTGCCTGGGGCCTTCCTGATCTGTGGTGGAGATCCTGGATTGTGGGGTGAGGAGGTGAACCTCCAGGATCTGTGCACCAGATACAGGAATGTGGAGGTTTATGGCTGGATGGCCAACAGCTTGGTGCAGAGGGAACACATCTGCGCCAGGAGCAGGTGCGGATGACAGTGAAGGAGCTGAGGCAGGCCTATTCTAAGGCCACAGCATTTCAGAGCTGCCAGTACTACGAGCAGCTCCACTGCATTTGGGAGGGGGTGTCTGTCCTTCCCCCCACTTGTGGACTGTGGCAGGGAAATGGCCATTGTTACCCTCCCAGAGGGCAGGCCTGGGGCCAAGGAGGAGAAACAGGCCTTGAGATCCATGATGCCCACTGGCCAGGATCTCATGCTGTTCTTGGAGCCATTACCACCCTCCCAGGATGTCACCCAGGGATTGGATGATGCAGTGGAAAGCCCATCAGGTGAGCTCCATGATGGTTCCTAGACACACAGATGGGGAGCAGCGAGGGGCGGTGTGCTCCTCGCTCAGCCTGGGCATCACACAGCAGCCTGGGCATGTGGGTGCACATGGAGCGCTGGTCTGGAGCATTCAGCCCCAGGAGGCTGCCATAGAGGACCCTTGTGCTCCTGCCTACACGGATCCTGAACAGGCCTGCCTTAGTCCTGATCCTGTGGTGGGACATCCTCCCACCACAAGCCACCAGTAAGGAAGCTGCGGTTCTTGACACACACACAGCTGTGCTGCACATGGCCAGGCCTGCACTCTTAGAGCAGCATCTGCTCCCAGACCAGTGTGGTGAGGTGGAAGACACTGAGCCCCTGCCAGGGGAGCCTGCTGGGTGGGGGAAGCAGTGGAGGTGATCCCAGCAGCACACTGTCCAGCAAACGGTGTCTGCCACTCACAGACCCCTTTAAGCACAAGCCTCAGCTAGCTTCAGACAGCAGCTCCAGGAAGTGACTGCTGTCCTGATGCCCTGCCTGAAGTGCTTCCGGGTGGCTTAAAGTCCCATGAGCGTGGATGCTCTAATTCAAAATAGTTCAGCACTGTTTTGATGGGAATTTGTTGTGTAGACGCGCTATTTCGAAATAAACTATTTTGGGGTTTCTATTTTGAAGTAAGCATGCAGTGTAAATGTTCCTTCAGTAAGTAACGGTTAGGCCACCCACCACAGGGAATTATTAATCTAAAAAAATGTAGCTCCTGACCAACTGCTTAGTAAACAACTTCAGGGTTCCTGTAGATCCTTAACAGTCTCTCCTGAAATCATTCACATTTGCCTGTTCCTTATGGTTCACAGTACCAATCAGAGGAAGCCTGTTTCAACTTACAAGTTTCTACAATGTTTTGAATTATCTGATAGATTCATTCACATGTGAAAGGTTCTCTATAAGAAATTAAAGAGAGACCATGTTCTTGTATAAACTAAGAACTTGTCTGGAAATAGAACTCACTCCTTCAAGCTCTCTGCATATATTTTCCTGACTGCAGTGGGTGTTCCATGCATAGAGAGTTTAATGAGCCCCTAGTCTTCAATTCCTGTAAATAAAATGTCCCCCAAATTAGGATTGCTTTATCTAAATCATTTAAGCCAAAATGAATTAATTGAAGAGGTGCAGCACAGAACTTGCTGCCCAGAGAGAGAGTTAAAGTAGTTTTAAGACACCACTGAGCTCTTCTGATTCTGGGTTGTTCCAGGGGCTGGAATGGTCTTGTAACTTAACATGGTTTATGAGGACTGTTTGAGCAGCAGAATCCCTGCAGTGCTCTGTGCTACTGTTCCCTGACGCCGTGACATGTCCCTCTTTTGGGGGTTGGAGACAGTCCTGTGAAGACAGCCAGTAGCTGTGTTCTTTAGTTCCTGTGCTGGGGGAACTAGCTTTTAGAGCCCTTTATGTTGCCCTCTATCCAGCATATGCAGAACAGGGGTAAGAATCTCCATCTTTGTCTTTTGTGTTCAAGACTGATCAGTTCTAAAGCTGTGTCTACACTGGGAAGGTTTGATGACAAAAGTGCTGATGACATGCAAAAGCATGAGCGTCCGGTACCCTAGCCAAGGGAAGACACAGCCTAGCCCCACCCACACTCCGCCCCCAGAACACCTACTATAGACGTTCTTGGGGATGGAGTGTTGCTGCCCCCAGCTCTCCTGGCGGGGGAGGCTGGAACCACGTACCCTTCTCTTTCCCCATACTCCGGGACCAGGGAGGCTGGGGTTGTGCACCTTGCTCACTCCCTGTGCTCCAGGGCTGGGGAGGCTGGGGCCGCCTCCCTCCTCATGTTCTGGGCCAGGGAGGCTGGGGCATGTGCACCCACCAGCCCTCCTGTCTTCCCGCTGGTGGAGGGAGGAGTGGGGAGGCAGCTTTGCTCCTTTGGGGGTGGAGCCTCAGCAGGAGTGGGGGGCTTGCCTCCCCCATGTGCAAAAGTCACCAAAAGTGAAAACTGGTCTAACTAGTATTGCGGGAAGGCAGAGCTGATCCCTTCACTTCTTGGGATTCCCTCATAGCTCTGTGAGCTCTCCATGCTGAGGAATGTCAAAGCAGCCCAGCAGTCTCTCCAGCCCTCCCCCTGCAACAGCAGTCTGCCTGCTGCTGTGTTCCTAGCAGGGCAGAACAGGAGCATTCCAATGATTTGGTCTTCATTTGTCCCCCCAAAGGTGCAGCCCACTCAGCTGTCAGATACTTCCCAGAGCTTTGAAAGGAGAGGGGCGCAAGTCTGCAGGGCAGCAGACATCACAAAACACTGAGCCAGCCATCAGGGCTGGCATTGTGGGATATTGACAGAAGCCGGGTCTCTTGACAAAACAAACAGCAGAATCCACACTGGGTCTTTGTCCACAATAAAGGGAAGGGAAAAGAGAAATGTCTCTTGCAGGGCTGGAAGTTTTTTGTTGCCAAAACTGGGTGTTTTTCCTGATAAAGGTCACATTGCAGTATAAACACTCTCACTGTTTTGTCATCAAAAAGCAGTTTGTAGGTAAGGCCTACATATAGAACACACTTTTGTCATTGGTGTAACTGTTAATTTTAATACTGAAATAAAATTATATACAGAAGGCTATTTCTACTCCCTCTTTTACTCTGCGAATAAGTCAGGAAGCACATTTGAAGAAGGCAAATGATATTATTTTATTTCAGTCTTCTGAAGGGACAATAAAGTTCCTTCTTCATACAATTTTTGCTACTGGTATGCTTAGTTCTTCCCAGTTATTGAAGATGGGTTTTTAAGTGCCTCTGGCTTTCTTGTCTTATTAGTAAGGGACCATAGCAGGGCATAGTGATGGTATTATTTTTGACAATGTTTCATTACTTTGCTTCAGATCCATGCTGCAATAAATGCAATTTGGTCATTTGTAATTGAAACTATCTCCCTGTAGGTTAAGGTTGATAGGAAATGTTGTAAGGGGTAGTGTTTGATGTCTCTTACTCTATAACGGTAAGCTTTGTTTTCCTGTAGACATATTGTTAGAAACTGTGATTGTATCACCTAATAATACTTTAGATAATTACCATGGTGCTCGTTTGTTCAAATAATAGCAGGAGGGTACAAAGGTTGACCCAAGAAGCCTTCTTTCACAGGAAGGAAGTAACCAGTATATCATTTAAAAATATAGATATCCAGGACTTGAACTGAATAAACTATCAAAAAGACCAGCTAAATGATAGTTTTCAAACTGCTGTATCAATATAGGCAAAATGTTGTGGCAAAATGGATTTAAGGTTGACAGTTGCCATGCTGGTCCCAGCATATTAGAGAGGTAAGGTGGACTAAGTAATAACTTCTAATTGATCAAGTTATATTGGTTAAATAGACTAATTTTCAAGCTAATTTTCAGAGCTCTTCTTCATGGCTGGGAAAGGTACTAAGAGTGTCTCAGCTAAATGCAACATGGAACAGATTTTTGAGCATAAGTAGTTAATATATATTCTAATGCCACTTCCCCTTTGGACAGAAGTTGGGCCAATAAAAGAGATTACTTCACTCACTTTGTCATCCTTAAGGTTGATACTATGTCAAGGATATAAAAAAAAGTGGGGTTAGAGCATCAGAACCAACAAATTCAGGATTTAAATTTTAAGATACTTTTAAAATGTTTGTATATGCTAATAAAGCAGTTAAGGTTACCCAAATGACATTAATCCTGATCTCATGGTAATATCATTCTTCCATCTTCCTTGCCTTGGGATATTTGTTAAATTCTCTAGTTCTGTGTCTCATTATAGAGATGGGCAATACAAATGATTAGGTATATGGAAAAGTATTCATATGAGGACAGAGAGGAAAAAAACCTGACTGTTCAGCTTGAAGGGAAAAAAGACTAAGGGGGATAAGATAGAGGTCTATAAAATGGGTGTGGAGAAAGTGAATAAAGGGAGTATTATTTTGTAGTATGGATGTCTAACGTCGTATAAGATATTCTGAGTTTTCTTAGGAGGGCATTATGGCTCAGAGAAATCATCATTTAATTGAATTAACCACATTTCCATACCATCAGATGTTTTTGTTTCTTTTAAAATTAACCTTAACTCTGAACTGGTGGTCATAATCGGAAACGTTACTCCCTTGATTTTCTTCATGATGGAAATATTAGAAGAGGTGGCTTACACCTAAGCTCTAGAATACAAGGTTGTAATGTAAAAGAAATTACCAGAACCATAGAGAAACTACATATAAATATGTAATACATTTAAGATTAAAATAATATATAGTTGCTTCTGTAAGAAAGTTATACATTCTTATTTATTTGACATGACCATATTTTATTAATAAATTATGCACAGAAATACTAAGATATATGAAATTATAAAGAATGACCTTTACCCTGGCATTTCTGATGTGTCTGTAATATAATCCATTGGTCTATACTGAGAGAGAACATGTGTCCACTAATCAGTAACCATTTAGTACTGCTATTCTGGCTTCTTCACATAGTGGATCCAATTTGCCATCACCTCCTAAAGGAGAAAGATAACAAAGAATATGCAGAGAAAATAGATTTTCATCTCATACTACTACTCCTTTTCATAGCATTCAGATATTCCTTTGAATTTTCCTATTCAAGTATTAGAACCCAACTCTGCATCAACCAGGACTGATCTTCCTTAGCTGAATAAATTGATGACACTAGATTCAGTACCTGGAGAACTTCAATCACTACAGAAATGCTGCAAATACTGTACGTGATTCAATAGACAGATGGCTCTCCTCTCTATAAGCAAGTATGTAATCTGTGCACCAGCACAGCATTAGGTCCTGTTGGCAGTGACGTCTTTCAGATAACAAAAGTTCTTGCCACATGTAGTCAAGAGTGATTGTATGACATTTTTGAACTGACAGAAGCTAATTTGACCTGGCCCTTTCAAACCCAGCCCTTACTCCAGCAAGCAGGGGGGACCGGGTGTGTGCGATCCAGCTGTGGGGCGTATGCGAGGCCAACGGGCACAGGCTGGCGCTGCTGTCGGGAGGCAGGGAAGGGGCCGAGCCACGGCCATTGTTGGCTGTTTTGTCTCTGAGCTGTTCGGAGTGCAGCACACTGGCAGCCCGCAATGGGGTGGGAGCCCCCTGGGCCACTCACAGGGCACAGCTGGTGCGGGGACTGATTAAGGGGAGGGCTGGCTAAAGTGGTCTGGACCCCTCTCACAATACAGCGAAGAATTGTTCAAATCCCAGGCCATTTTCGTATTATCCAACATTTTTGTTAATTTGACCGCCTATTGGTCCCGTTTAGGTCGGATAATTGGGACTCTACTGTAGTCAGATCAAAATAAATTACTAAACCAAAATAAACAAAGCATGCCAGGTAATCCTAATCCACCAAGGTACTTGTCACATGCAAATTCTTACCCCTAAACAGTTGTTCTAAATACCTCTTTCACAAGTTAAGCAGCCGCCTAGCTTGAGTCCGATCCTTCCCCCTGTTCAATCTTAGATGTTTCTAGCATGTATCTTAGGTGGTAAGTTGGGGGAGGGGTGTCTCCTGGTATCTGGTGACTGCCTTTGTTGTTTGATTCCCCCCTTTATATCTCTTTTTGCCCAAGGAGGGAATTCTTTGAGCTCAGTTCAAACTTCTCACCTTGATCCTTCTTACCAAGATCCGAAATAGGTTTCAGCATCAGGTACCCTGGCCACATGTCCTGGCGTAACCAACCACTAGTTAGGCTTACAGGAAAATCAGAGCCATTCACAGATTATTGACTTGATCACTTAGCCACTACGTTTCCAGGTCATCAGTAATGGCCCTCACTAACACATGTAGAATTATACACAGATCCACATTTCATATATCTAATTTCACATACATGCACAAAAATAGGATTTATACTAGGAAAAATCAGACAATCAGGAAGGCTCTTGCCAATTTCACTTTCTGCCAGAAAGGAGAAAGTGAAATTGACAAGAGCCTTCCAGGTGAACAACCAGGGAGGTATCATTTTGACACCTGGATGGAGAAAATTTCAATATTGCAAAAAGGGCAGTTTCTGTCAGAAAACCATTGTGTTCCCAAGCAGCTCTAATATTAATTAGCATTCCAACCAAACTCCAGTATAGGTATGTGACTCAAGTTTACCGAATTCCACCTGCAGTTTCATTTGAGATTCTCATTACTTTTTGTCCTTGCCTTCTGTGCATCGCACCAAATTCAGCTTTACTCTGAAATGACCTTTCTCTATATATATTCTTACCTACCTCACTGTGACGGGGTGTACCAACCCTGCACTGTTTGTAGAAGGGTTAGCCTGGCTTGCTGGGCTCAGAAGGCCCCTCTCTTGCAGCCCTGCTAGGCATGCTTCAACTGCAGAGGCAGTATAAAAGCCCCAAGAGCAGCTCAGTTGGGGAGGACTGCCAGAGGTGAAGGAGCTCCTGCCTGAACACAAGAGCAACTGCACCCACTGGACTAGC